CAYAGGAGAGGTGCTCCAGTACTCTTTTCATGTTTGTGGCACTCCTTTGGGCTTGCTCCAACTGTTCCATGTCCTTTTGTAATTGGGGAGCCCAGAACTGTATGCAGTGATCAAGGCAGGGTTGCACAAGAACAGAGTAGAGGGAGAGAATCACCGCCCTCAAACTGCTTTCCACATTCACAGAATCACAGAATCACAGAATCAATCACAGAATCACAGAATCACAGAATCACAGAATCAATCACAGAATCACAGAATCACAGAATCACAGAATCACAGAATCACAGAATCACAGAATCAATCACAGAATCAATCACAGAATCACAGAATCACAGAATCACAGGATAATCTGATTTGGAAGAGACACACAAAGAAATCAAGTCCAACTCCTGGCCCTGCTCAGCACCATCCCCAAGAGTCTCACTGTGTGCCCGAGAGCATCGTCCAAATGCTGCTTGAGCTCTTCAGGCTGGGGCTGTGACCATTGCCCTGTGGAGCTGTTCCAGTGCCCAACCACCCTCTGGGTGAAGAACATTCCTCTAATATCCAAACTAAACCTCCCCTGATACAGCTTCAGGCTATTCCCTCGGGTCCTGTCACTGGGTACTGCAGAGAGGAGATCAGTGCCTGCCCCTCCTCTTCCCCTCACAAGGAAGGTCTAGACTGCACTTAGGTCTCTCCTCAGTCTCCTCCAGGCTGAACAGACCAAGTGACCTCAGGCACTCCTCATTTGGCTTCCCCTCAAGGCCCTTCCCCATCTTTGTTGCCCTCCTTTGGGTGCTCTCTAATGGCTTTACATCCTTCTTACATTGTGGCTCCAAAAATTGCCCCCAGCACTTGAGGTGAGGCCGCCCCAGCACAGAGCAGAGCGGGACAATCCCCTCCCTTGCTCAGCTGGCGATGCTGTGCCTGGTGCCTCACAGGACAGCGTTGGCCCTCCTGGCTGCCAGGGCACTGCTGACTCATGTCCAGCTTGCCAGTGACCCCCAGGTCCCTCACTGTGGCACTGCATTCCAGCCTSTCATTCCCCAGTCCCTCTGTACATCCTGGGCTGCCCCATCCCCAGTGCAGAATCTTGCACTTGCCTGTGCTGCACTTCAGYTTGTGATTGTTCAACCCCCTAATTTCTCCTCTAATTTGCTCCTTTTGACATAGCCCAGGACTTGGCTGGCTTTCTGGGCTGCTGGCTAAAACCAAACTTTCTAAATGAAACTAAACKAAACTACTCTCAACTAAACTTTCTAAACTGCCAGCTTTAGAGCTGTTGAGTTCTTCATCAGCCATCACTCACAWGTCCTTCTCTGTTTGCATAAAATATCTGTTTCATATTTTTCCTGTCAGTGCCCTTGTCTCATTGCTTTGAGATTACTAGGTTGATTGAAACTACAGAGGAAGCTGTTTTTTTGTTGGGAGTTTCATCATAGAAAAGTTAAGCTAATTCAGGGAGTACAGGTTTTCCTACTACTTCTTGCAGGATACTTTGGATCTCTGAGGAACAGATGATATTGTTTTCATTTCTGCATCTGTCTGYGTGGTGTCAGGTCTCCCTTGACCCTATACCTGGGAAGTTTGACAGTTACAGCAAGTGCTGGGGAAAAGTAGGGATTTCAGTCAGAAATTCAGCAAATCTTCCTGTGGAGGAGCCACATCACTGGGGAGGCACAGGAGCACCTATGCCAAGCCTTGGGAACTGGGAACATCCAACTCTACACTGCCATCATCTTATGGCATGTAGTGACAGGACCAGGGGTAGGGGTTTTAAACTGAAAGAGGGCAGGCTGAGATTAGATATTAGGAAGAAATTGTTCTCTGTGAGGGTGGTGAGACAGTGAAACAGGTTGCCCAGGGAAGTTGTGGGTGTCTCATTCCTGGAAGTGTTCCAGGCCAAGTTGGATGGGGCTTTCTAGGGAAAGGCATCCATGCCCATGGCAGAAGGATTGGAAGCAGGTGATCTTTAAGGCCCCTTCCAACCCGAACCATTCTATGATCCTGCCTGGCTGTCTCTGCCAGCTCTTCAGGGAATCAACAAAATGGTTATTTTAATGTTTTGAGAACCATCAAAATGCATTTGCTATATTGTCCCTTTTTGTGAAAAGGTTTTTATAAGAAATATAAACCATTAAAATCTCTCTCAGGTGCATGCTTTTTTGTCAGACCAATAGAAAGGAATGCACTACACAGTGCTGAGAGATATCCTTCTAAACTGCAAACCCAAACTTTATGTAATATTGTACAAACATTGCCATTAAATGAGAGAATACATCTGCATGTTATGATACAATTTTATTGGTGGGTGTTGACATGAAGTTTCAGCCTTCTATATTGGATTAATATGTGGGATTATGTGCAACACATGTAGTAATCAGTGGGGTTTTAAAAATTCATCGCATTATTCTTGTTAAACAGTCACAGATTTCCTAACTAAGTGTGAATATCTTCTTTTTAAGGCTTGAATTTCAGACAGTAGGGGCTGCCTTATTGCATTGTAATAACTCTTTGAGCCCTCTTCACTGCTTTGCACTGAGGCCCAGGGGGCAGCTCAGGATCTCAGAGGGCTCTGTCCCCTGACACYAACTGCTTGAGAAAGCCCCAGTGCAGCACCAGGGCTGGAATGCACTACTCACCAAATGCTGCATAAAACAGTGCTGGCTGTTGTTGATCACAGTCTCCCATAATGATTGGAAAGCCATCAAGTTCAATTTCCCTGCTCAAGCAGGGTCCCCCAGAGCATGCTACTCAGGATTGTGTCCAAAAGGCTTTTGAATATCTCCAGAGAAGGAGACTCCATAATCTTTCTGGGCAGCTTGTTGCARTGCTCTGTCACCCTCAGAGTGAAGAAGTTTATCCTCATGTTCAGCTGGAACTTTTGTGCATCAGTTTCTGCCCTTTGCCTCTTGTCCTATCTTTCTTGGCACCATCAGGAAGAGCCTGGCTCCATCCTATTGGCACCCTCCCTTCAGATACTTACAGACTCCCTGGATGAACTTCCTCTCAGTCTCGCCTTCTCCAGGCTAAACAGGCCCARCTTCCTCAGCCTTTCCTCATAACTGAGGTGTTCCAATCCCCTAATCATCTTTGCATCCCTTCCCTGGACCCACTCTAGGAGCTTCATGTCTCTCTTGCACTGAGGAGCTCAGAACTGAACAGCAAACTCCAAATGTGTCTCACCAGGGATGATTAGAGGAGCAGGATCACCTCCCTTGACCTACTGGCCACACTCTTYCYATCACCCCACCTTCTTGGCCASAAGGACACACTGCTGGCTCATGGACACTTCAYTGTCCACCAGGATCCTGCAAAGCTGCCCTCCAGCAGATCAGCCCCCATCCTGTACTGATGCCTGGGGTTATTCCTCCCCAGRAGCAGAACCCTGCACTGCCTTTGTTGAATTTCAGATGGTTCTTCTCTGCCCATCTCTCCAGCCTGTTGAGGTCCCTCTGAAGGGCKGMACAGMCCTTGGAGGTACCAGCCATTCCTCCCAGCTTTGTGTCATCAGTGAACTTRCTGAGGAGGCATCTGCTCCTTCATCCCAGTTATTGATGGATAAGATAGACAATACCCTTCTCAGTACTGACCCTTGGGGAACACCATGAGCTATAGGTCCAACCAGACCCTGTGTCACTGATCACAACCTTCTGAGCTCCACTYTTCAGACAGTTGTCTTTCCACCTCACTGTCCACTCATCCAGACCTGATGTTCCACTAAATATCCCAAACACCTGCTGCCCTCACATGTGGGAGAGAGGCAGAGGAAGAAAATCTGGCTCAGTGGTCCTCCCACTGCCCAGTAGTTCCACGTCCCTTCCATTCTCCCTCTGCCTTGGGCCTCTCCAGAACCTCTTTGTGCCCCATCTCAGGTTATTTTTTAATTTCCAGTATTTTCTCTTTTACCTCCTGCAAAGGGGCCAAGACCAACTTTCGCTGGGGATGCCTCAGTGTTGGTATTTTCTCATCCCATATGGCTTTAAATCCTTCACCAGAGCCATCTATAGCAGTCAATTCTTGGTACTTCATATCCTGGGCACTGGTCAATAATCATCACTGACTCAGATGAGCTCAAAAGTATTTTCTTGTTTCTGACGCTGTCTTTCCTCCCTGCTTCTCTCAGGTAAAAGTCTTTCCCTTCTCCATCATCTTCTGTGTCCTGCTCCTGGCACATGCATGTGTTGTGGGGGGCTCTGATAAGGTGAAACAGAGAGAGAAAGAAAAAGGAAATTTGGAGGAAGGAGTGGATTTTAGCAGAGTTACAAGGAAATCTGAGACACTGGTGTTGGGTCTCTTGCTGCAGGATGAGGCTGCACAGGTGAGCTGGAACCAGATGGAGACAGGCGCTGCTTTGTGTGATGTTTTGCTGAGAGCAGCTGGAGAAGCACCATGGGCAGGCTGGCAGAGGGACCAGCCACCAAGGCCAAGGGACACGACACCGAGCTGGCCAGGCAGCTCTGGGGGCCAGCCCATATCCCTGCGTGGCTGCTGCCCCTCTCACTGCAGCACGGACACTGTGCCTCGCCCCGACTCTGGGCACAGATGTGGGCAACCAAGAATATGTCTCTGTGGCTATGAATAAAACTTCAGCTGCGTGTCATTTGGAAAGACCCTAATTTTATCTAGCCAGCACCCTCGGTGGGCAGCTCTTTGCCCCTTCGCTTGGACAAACGAGGTGTATAATGCCCTTTTTTCTGCCGGAGGCTGGGGATGCGGGAGGAAGAGGAAGAGAGACGCGTTTTCTTCCATCTCCAGGGYTAACAGAGCCGGCGATGGGAGCAGCCCCCGGCGCAGGCAGCTCCAGCGAGCCCGCGGTGTTTGGCTTGTCCGGGCGCCCGCGATGGCTCCGATGTGCGCGCAGTTTGACAGATGACCTATTGAAATAATTTCGGAGCAGTGCTGGGGTTGCCAGGACAACCATTGCTCCCTGGGCCGGCCCGGGCCATGTGACGGCCGCCTTGACGTCAGCTGGGGGCTGAGCCTGCGGTCCGGCCGCGCCGGCAAAGCCGTGTGAGAGCGCTGGATGCTGGGCTCATCCCCGCCACCGCCACCGCCACCGCTGCTGCCGCTGCTGCCGAGTCTCAGGGGCTGCCAGAGCATGGACTGTTAAAAACTTGCATTTCTACAGCGTGAGGTAACCATTTGCTTTATGTTCTCATCGGGTTTGGATTTATTTTTTTTTTCTTAAAAAAAAGAAAAATAGAAAAGAAAGCGGCTTGTATCAGTGGCTGATTATTTTTTTTTTCACTTGTTTGTTTTGGCTGGAAGTTTGCCTTGATGAACAAGCCCAGCACTATCAGATAAATGCAAAGCAGCTTCCAGTTACTAATTCTGTGTGCAGACTGCAAAACGGAGTTAAATATAGATTAATGATCCATGAAAGGAGAATAAAATTATATCGTTCTCATTTGACACTTTARGAATATAAATGAACACGAGTAATCCTGGGCTAATGCATTCGGGAGTTAAAAGAAATGATGTTTAGGCATTGTGTTTTTATACCTCAGTTGGAATTTGTAGTTTTTTAGTGCTGCTCGGTTCAGGCGTGTTTGTACCCAGTGTGTCCGGTGAGGGGGAAGCCAGCAGTCATTGCAGCCAGGGACAGCTTAAAATCCAGCTCTCAAAGTTGGAGCATTTAAATCATCTTTGTTCACGCGGAGAACCGCGCACCCATCGCGCTCCCCGGGCTCTCTGCCCCTCTCCTGGGGCACGCGGCTCTCTTGACTGTGTAGTGTTTACAGAGGAAAGAATCAAAACCTTTCTGAAAAATGATCTGAAATATGCCAAGAGAGCAGCATTGCTGTAACACAGGCTTTTATCATTTTTTCTCACAGGCACACACACAGGCTTTTTTTTCTCTCTCCTTTTTTTTTTTTTTTCCCCTGTTGTGCATTGAGAGCAGTTAGAATAGCTAAAAAAAGAACTGCAGCATGAGCAGCATTATTTTTCAATCACCACAGTGATTCAAAAATGAAATGCCATTTGGGTCTTTTTTGTAAAAACAAGAGAGAGTTTGAGTCTGTTTCTGTTGCACTAACTCCGAGGTGGCTGTTGTGGGGAAGGAGATCCCAGAGCTCCTGAAGTTTAGTGCCACAGGCTGAGTTTGTTTGTGTGGGAACATATAGATTCGTTTTTAGAACAGATTACAGCTGAAGCATCGTGTGCGTTCTTTCCTGGAAAAGTATGTTAGATCGTTCTTATCTTCTCTAATTATATACTCCTGTTCCCTTTCTCCCAAAGTTCAAAGGGTTTATTGATAATGGTAATGATTCTCTAAAGCAGCTGCTGGTCTCAAACCATGTGGAGCTACAAAACAATTTAAAACACAGAGCAGTAAAAGATAAAAAAAAATCTATGAAAATTATCCTAATGTTATCAAATGCAGCACAAGTAATTGTTTCAGAAGGAAAGCCAAGACAGGCATTAACACTGAAGGCACTTCTCTAAGGAAGTTATGGATTAATGCTCTGGATTTCACTGCATTTGGCGTTCTTAGCAGACAGCAAGGATAGACATCTGAAACATCTAAACCGTTTCACACTGTGTTACCTCATCAGTTCTTTCCAGTTCAACTCTTGAGCCTAAAACATGATTGTTTTGGGGGGCTGAAATATTTCAAATGGTCTTTATTGAATTCTTCACCTGATGCCACTGCAGCAGTGCATGAGGAATCTCGCATGGCTCCTCATGGATGAGTTTAACCGAGGTTTGCAGGAGCCTCGCAGCTTTGGCGGAGGTGTTGGTGCCCCGTGGCGTGAGGGGGCTCTCGGTGTCCCTGTCCGGGTGACCCACCTGGGCTGAGCTGGGCACGGCTGCTCTCCAGCTATGCAGAGCTGTGCTTCAGCTGGTGGCAGTGTGTCCCTCTCCACCTGCATGTGAGTCCCCAGACTGTGGAGGTGGGGTAGGAGGGGAGGACAGGGGGAGGTGGTCGGTACAACCCACCACCCTYTGAGGTCTGCTTGTTCACCAGCTGATGCTGCTGGGTGAGTCTGCAGAGGGACCAAGGCATGGAGTATGGGACAGATTTGAGCTGAGTGGCACCTGCCATTCAAGAGAAGTCRTTCGCCCTCGTGTCTGCAGGATTTGATTCTGTGTGTAGCTGTCGCCACCTCCCAGGTTTGAGTCATCAATGTGGCTGTGATGCTCAGTGTAGGCTGAGGCTTTTGCTCATTCATTTAGGTGTGACTACAGTATCCTGGAGCATTTGATGCCTTGAAAACACCTGTGTGGGGACAAATAATTGTTGCAACTWCTGCTCATTAGAAGTACCTTAAAAATGGGTTCCTCATCTCCAGATAGAATGGGCTTATCTCTCTTTAGTGATACTGAGGAAGTCTTCAAAAGGCTCTAAATTGCTCTAAATTGATCTTAGAGAGGAGGATTCATGTTTCAGCAGAAGGGTCCTGGACATGTTGTGGGAAGCGGTCTGAGGGGCAGTGTTGCATGGGAAGCTGGTGAGTGCCACTGAGGTTGCACAGGGAGCATCCTGCCTGGCAGAGTGACGGCTCTGCCCCCTYCTGATGAGTCTTTTGGGGCTTTGGGCATCCCAATACCAGGCTTTGACCGATTTTTCCCTAGAGATGAGAATGGATGCATTGCAGGCAGGCAGGCAGCTACCAGGCAGTGCCAGAGTCTGCAG